AAAAAAAAAAAGGGCTACTTTCACGGCTGCTCTAGGGGCTGGGGCTGCTTTATTTCGGATGGTTTTAGAACAAAGCCGTTAAGAAAAAGAGCAACCGTCCTCCTCCTTTTCCTCCTCCTTCTCCCAGGCTTTTGACATCATCTCGGGGAAAATGAAGCCCGCGCCCCTCAGCCATCGCCTGCGCGTGTGTGAGTGTGTGCGGGTGTGCGCGCTCCGCCGCCGGCACGGGAGGCGGGAACTCGGCTTGGCCCGCCGCGGGGAGCGGCTTAACCCCCTCGGCGCCGTCCTGTCAGGGAGCGGCCGCGGGGCTCCCCCGCCGCGGTTCCTTCCCACCTCCCCCGAGGTTGGCCACGCCTCGGCCGCCGAGCGGGGCCGGGCGGCGGCTGTGGTGGCGGCGGCGGCGGGGCGGGCCGGGCGTGCGGAGCTGCTGCGGGTCCGGATCGCGGCGGGAGCGGAGCAGCGCGCACCGCCCGTTGCCGCCCACGAGGAGGGCTGAGGGTTACGGGCGGGACAGGTGGGGCCGCCCCTCGGCACGGCCGTTGGCCGCGCATGGCGGCCCCGAACGGCACGGTTATGAGACTCGGCTCCAGTTGACGCGGCTTCAAACGTTGCGATCTTCACGCGAAGCCCCACAGTCTCAAACGCTGCAGTTTCTTCAACACCGCACCCTCAGAGCTGTACAGGCCAATACCCCATGAACACAGCTCTGCACACACAGCTTCGAGCACCTCAGCCCAGTATAACAGCTGCCAATATCACAGCGGTGCACACACAGCCCCAGTCACCACAGTGTCAAACACTACAGCCCCATAAAGCATCCCAGCCCCAAACACTACAACTCCAAACACTAGAGCTGTATTTGCAAACCCCCTAACAATACAACTCTACACACACAGTTCAACACCACAGCCCTAGCCACTACAGCCTCAAACATCACAGCTCTGCAGGTCTACACACAGCTGCAAACACCACAACCCCAAACACCACAGCCCCCAGCACCACGGTTCTACACACACTGCCCCAAACATCACGGGTCAAGATAGGCAGCCCCAAGCACCATAATTCGACACAAACAGCCCCAAACACCACTGCTATATACACTAAGCTCCAAACTCCGCATCCAAACACATACAGCCCCAAACACCACAGGTCTACAGTCACACAGCCCCAAGCACCAAATCTCTAAAGAGCCCTACCACCACAGCCCAAAATACCACAGCTCTGCATGCACTGCCCCAAACAATGGAACCCACAAACACCACAGCTCTACACACTCAACCCCAATCACCACAGTCCCAAACAAACACCACAGCCATACAACTGTACAGCCTCCAGCCAGGGCTCCTCCTGCTCATCTCTTCCGGGTCCCCCACTTCACCATGAGCACTTGGTGCCACCACAGGAAGCCTAGGTCCATGTTTATGCTTCAAGGCAAGGCTGTCCTTCCTTGTATCACCTTAAAATGGTAACTGTAGGCCTCTCCTGTATCAGAGCTGTGCTCTGCAGCCTTACGCAATGAAGGCTGACTTGTTCCTGGCTTCTCTTGAGCCTCATTTTAGATTTTCCTCAAATCTGAGCACACCAGGGCTTGTAACTGTTGTCCTCCATCCTTAAAGCACATCTCACTTCTGATTACGTGTTGCTTAAGGTCTTTGGACACACTTCCTTTAGCATGCAGTGGGAACGTGATCTCTTCAAAATGGATCAAATCTACTCTGTTTGAGAGACTGAAGCCCTCTGAAAGGAGCACCTCGGGCTGAGCAGCCAAAACAGGTCACAGAGCCCTCCATGAACCTCTTGGACACAGCGAGGAGTAGGGATTTGTTTCATTAATTCAGCAAACAGAATTTCACCCAGGGCAAAGTCTGGATCATGTCACCTGAGCATTACTGAAATCATTATGAATGCCATGCGGAACAGGAAGGTTTTGCCTACTGATAGAAAGCTTGTGCATAGCAGCAACAGAAAGAAAGAAGGAAAAGAAGGAGAAAGAGGAAATATGTGGTTTTGATCAACTCCTTCTTAAAAATAGAAGTCTGATTATCGTTGCCCGTTTCTGATTCCCCAGAGGAGAGCGGGAAAAGGAGAAGGATCTATAAATAGCATGCAACACAGAGAATCCTATAGCAAAGTCACTGGGAAAGATCAATAGCATGATTCAAGGAGGGCTCCAAATTACATCTCAGGGGAGGGAAGTGCTGAATGGAATTGATAAATGAGTTGCAAATGCTGTGTGTGTTGTGTGTATCTAATTAACAGAGGGTGACTAGGATCAATAGCAACCAAGGAGCTGGTCTAAAAATAGTGCTCAAGCAAGGACTGCAACCTGCGGGCAACAGCTTGGATGGAAACGTCCCCTGAAGTAATTAACCTTTAGCTGGAAAATGATGGCAAGCGTGAGGTCAAAGGAGAGCCTGAGGGCAGCTGAGGGCTGAGGTCTCCGAGGGGCTTTGGGTCACAGAATAGCATGACAGTCATGGAGAGTACAAGCATAGCCGTGGGTCTGCAACCCTCCTCCAATTGGGGTCGGGCTGCAAATTTGTGTAGTGCTTAGTGGAGAAATATCCAAGTATTAGCATTTTGTTGGCACTGCAAAGTAGGAAATATCTGTAGTTTGCACATGTTTCAGTGTTGCTTAGAGAGGAGTTACATCCATTTACATCTACAGAAATTTATGATTTTCTTCTTGTTTTCTGACCTTCTTGCAAAGAAAATATGCACCTACCTGAGGACTAGCACTCAGTCTTTCCTCATTCAGACTCATCAGCATAACTCTCTGAACCACAATGCAAGCAGCATTGGAAATGTTCCTCAAGCACTCTATCTACAGCAGAGCAGTCAGGGAAACTTCAGGGAGAAGGAGTGATGTTGGACACGATGATCAGTGGCTCAGCCCACAGGCTCTTGTGGTTCCAACTGAAAGTCTAGTGTCAGTCTGAGTGCAGGACTGGGACCCAGGGTTGTACAGTGTGACTGAAAGAGAAAGAAACCATAGAGATGAAGAATGTAGAAATTGTCTATTTTCAAAGTTGGTGTGGAAAATGTTGGAGAGATTAGAGATTTCTCTCCTTAATGTAAATGGAAATGGTATAGATCCTAGCCATTTTTTTTTCTCAGTAAGGAAAAATGATCTTTGTGAAGAACTGGAGACCTGGGAAGTAGTAGTCTGAAGTAGTAAGCCTGGTTATTCACCAAAAGGAAGGCTAACTCCAAGTGTCGACATTCATCTTCTCTCACATTAGTCCTACTTGAGGAAGAGTGAGCAAGTTGGAAGATAGCCTTGAGTTGCACAGTGCTTGTGCTGGCTGCTGAGAGCTGTAGAATCATAGACTCATTAAAGTTTGAAAAGGCCACTAAGATCATCTAGTCCAACTGTCAATCCATCCCCAGCATGCCCACTAAACCATGTCCCTCAGTGCCACATCTACCCTTTTCTTGAACATCTCCAGGAATAGTGACTCTACCTCCTCTCTGAGCAGTCTGTTCCTGTGCCTTATCAAAAGGTAAGTAGGTTCATCTACTCCTTCGAGAAGAACCTAATGAGAGTTAGAAGTCTCCCCTATTCCAGATAGTAGTGTTACAGCCACTCCTGTTTTACCTTGAGTTTTCTCTGCAGCAAAGGCAGAGTAGGGAGAAATGCAAGAGAACAAGTATATGGGATTCTTTTCACCTCCTCAAATACTCCCAACCTCAGACTATTCTGATTCAGAAGATTTTTCAGTTATTTGGTCTATTTAGTGATCCATAATGGATCTTACTTCCAAGCACCTGTCCCTTCTTCACCTGAATCCAACTAAAATTTCTTCATCCTCAGCATCCCCTGTGAAGGAGTTTGACAGATCTGCTTTTCTGAGCAGAATTAGCATTTGCATTTATCTGTTCAAACTGGTCTTCCTTCAGTGGTCCCCAGACCTTGTTCTGCAAGTGAACTGTACGTTTTCTCCATGCCAATTATGAGATTTTGCAATTCAAGCAAGGTAATCCCAATTTCAGCCACTATGTTCATGCAAGGCTGTAATCATAAAAGCAAAGAATCATTAAGGTTGGAAAAAACACTAAGATCTAGTCCAAACATCAAC